CTGGTCCTTTGCTGGTTTAAACTGGTCCTTTGCTGGTTTAAACTGGTCCTTTGCTGGTTTAAACTGGTCCTTTGCTGGTTTAAACTGGTCCTTTGCTGGTTTAAACTGGTCCTTTGCTGGTTTAAACTGGTCCTTTGCTGGTTTAAACTGGTCCTTTGCTGGTTTAAACTGGTCCTTTGCTGGTTTAAACTGGTCCTTTGCTGGTTCATGCTGGTCCTTTGCTGGTTTATGCTGGTCCTTTGCTGGTTTATGCTGGTCCTTTGCTGGTTTAAGCTGGTCCTTTGCTGGTTTATGCTGGTCACCAGCAAAAGGACCTGCATAAACCAGCATGCCAGCGTCAAAACATACCTAACCAGCATATGCTGTTTCTTTCAACATAGATGTCATTTCTCGAATCTTCTTAAGGCAATGTCTAACCTTTCCCCTTATGAGGTTTATCGCTGAGATATCAATCAACTAAACAGCATGAAATGCCAAACAGGTGAAAAGTTAAACAGGTGTAATATTAACCCTGTCAAAATGCCCTTTTCTTAGAGAGTTCAAGGCCAGAAGGAGTCGAAGCCCATATGAACCTACAGTCATGTTGAGAGTTTAGTGTTCACACAGAATGAGCAATTCTGCAATTCTCATTTAAAGCAAGATAAAACACACCGATGTTTCCTCATTGAATCTCGCTGTCGGTAACAGGAACATGAGTTACAGCCCAAAATCAATCACTAGAAACTCCCTTCTCATAAATGACAATAAAATGACTCGGCTTTCTCATGAAAGATGGAAAAGCCATTTATTAATCGTGAGTCATTTATCAACACAACAGAAAAGAAAAACAGCACAGGTTATTGTCCATGCATTTCCTTATTTGATCTGGCTTTATTTTTCTGTGAACAAGGAAACACTCATCTTGAGCAGTTCTGGTAGATCGGCAGGATTTCATTTCCTGATTGATTCATGCATATTCATATTTTGAAGGAGTAATGCTGACACACATGCACTGGAGATGGAGACTAGCTGTGTATACTTTGGATGAGATTATGTATTGTGCACACTATGCACTCACAGCGGCCTACATTCAGATTTGGTAAAAAGGTCACTCCTGTCACCTAGCGGTTGTGTTATTAAAACCACAAGGAATGAGTCAGGAACACAAATATGCTTAAACAATGATGGTTATTATGCTAACCATGTCGAATTAATATAAAGTACGACAGTCAGTAGAATAAATAGCTGTATTATAAAGTCTTACGTCACACTGATTTGAGAGCTATCACTGATAAAGAAACAAGCCACAGCTCAGCACATAAGCACACAGACAGCGCAGATGATGTGTTTCTTCATGATGACTGAGCAGGTAAAGCACAAGAGACCTGGTGTCTGTACAGAGGTTAGCAGAACTGGCTAGCAGAGGTCAGAGGTCGACGTACAGTATAATGTATAACATAGTATTAACCCTATAAGTGTCACCGCTTGGCACTCTTTTTTCCTTGTCTTTTTTTCCCCTTAACATATTTTAGCAATCATCGTAAATGATAATTTGAAAGCTTAAATGGAAATGTGACTTTAATATCTTTTAGCGGTCTCCTCCCCCTTAGTGGGCGGTGTCAAGTGTGATATTACAAAATGCATTACGATTTTGTAATCGAGTGTCATATTATTAAATGTTTAGTTCTTTTAGAATTACAATTTTTATAATCTTAACAAAATACATACCGTCTGAGTCTCAAGATTCCATATTTGGTGGATATTTTGTGATAGAAGTAATATTGAGAGAGAAATTTAGACATTTGTGACAGAACAAAAAAATGCATAAAAAGATTAAATGGAGTTTGAATGGCACCTGGTGGCTGTTTGTGGTATAACACCCTCAATAAACTCTCACGGCAACCTCCATTTTTTTTATATCAACTTCAAATTTGGAACATAACTCATGTAGGCATAAGGCTTTAATTTTATACCAATTTTAGCAGTATAATGTATAACATAGTATTAACCCTATAAGTGTCACCGCTTGGCACTCTTTTTTCCTTGTCTTTTTTTCCCCTTAACATATTTTAGCAATCATCGTAAATGATAATTTGAAAGCTTAAATGGAAATGTGACTTTAATATCTTTTAGCGGTCTCCTCCCCCTTAGTGGGCGGTGTCAAGTGTGATATTACAAAATGCATTACGATTTTGTAATCGAGTGTCATATTATTAAATGTTTAGTTCTTTTAGAATTAAAATTTTTATAATCTTAACAACATACATACCGTCTGAGTCTCAAGATTCCATATTTGGTGGATATTTTGTGATAGAAGTAATATTGACAGAGAAATTTAGACATTTGTGACAGAAAAAACTAAATGCATAAAAAGATTAAATGGAGTTTGAATGGCACCTGGTGGCTGTTTGTGGTATAACACCCTCAATAAACTCTCACGGCAACCTCCATTTTTTATATATCAACTTCAAATTTGGAACATAACTCATGTAGGCATAAAGCTTTAATTTTATACCAATTT